ACCCCCGTAAGTCTTCTTCATTCGATCGCACTTGAAATGTGACAGAAGCATCTACAGAAACCATCTACTGTTTCTGCAGATGATCTTGCAGAGTCGTGGGCACGTACACAAAAGCTTAAAAAACGGGTGCACGAAGCAAAGGCTAGAGTGCAGAGTCTTGAAGATGGTATGTTGCTCATGGAATATATTTCTATCTCCTGACATTGTCTACTCAGAATTGGCAAGGGTTTCTGCGCTTCCTACAACCGCTGATTACAAAAGGATGATTGCGGAGCAGGCAGCAATGGTGAGAAGACATTATTGCGAGCGAATGAGTTTACTAACAAATAATCAAAGAACGAAGATCTCGAAAGGAAATGTCAAGAGATCAAGGAAGAAATCAATGCGCGATCCGTGATGGCATCGACCGCATTGCCCGCATCGGACCTCAGCGATCGTGAGTTGGTAGAAAGATATGTTCGTAACAAAAGGAAATTCATGCGGTATGTCACTTTCTAGAGTGCCTCGAAGAAGATTTAACAGACCTTGCAGCATATGGGGGGCGATAACTCTCTCGTGGGACCGGAGCGAGATTGATGCCTTGAAGACGCGTCTTGGTATCAAGTTTGATACTGACTTGAATGATCATGAATTTGCTCGACTCAAGGCCGCCGTCGAAGAGATTTGGCCAGAGGTGTTGCGAGGGCACAATGGGCTGTTTGAACGTGGCATGTGACCAGCAGCCTGACAAAGTGCCTTGTCTCTTTGTATGTATCTTGGTGGGCTCCATTGTCAGATAATTAGTCCTTTTCTTGAGATACGCGTGATCGCACTCAGCTCAGGCGCACCGACTGCTCCGACGCGTTCGCAGTCCAAAGAATGATAGGTTTATTGCTGGAGGCGGATGCATATGGGAAAGCTCTCATGAACAGGATCAGTCTTACCGCACAAGCTATCGTCAACGGCAGAGCAATTAAGGCGCAAGGCGTGGATCCATACTGAACCTTAAACCCGCCCCAATTTCCCTCAACCAACGGTATAGACAATGGTGGGTGTCCAGTTTCTTAATCCAAGATACGTAGCATAATTGGACTTCAGTTACTCAACTCTGAAGAGTGCCAAGTTCTCAAAGCCTTCCTCAAAGAGGTCAGTCGCTACACTCTCAAGCCTCCTGTGCAGGCTCTAACGGACGGAATGTGTTGCAGAATACCTTTATGCAAGTTCGTCGATTTTTTCTCTTCATGGAATGTACTGAATCATGATTTCACCCAGAACAAGGATATCAAAGATCTGCCAGGGGTGGCTGGGATGCGTAAGCCCCAAATAGTAATCCCTGAATAACTCTAATCTATTTTTGAAATAGAATCAGTGAAATTAAAACGTGCACTGGCAAGTCTGGTCACCAAGGGGCTTCTGCAAACTCATAATTTTGGTAACGGCACTTGTGAGTACTATAACCTCTGTATACAAAGACCAGAAATTGATTACATGTCAGGCTACTGGAGCCCCGTAACGCTTATATTAGATGAAGTACGTGTCGTTGACGCGTAGGTTGAACCATTGCCAACTTTCTATCCAGGAAACTACCTGCAAAGGCGAATCCGAGGAAATTTGTCAACGCCAGTCAGAAATTGGGCAAGCTATCGCCAATATCACAGAACAACGAGAGGATACTGTACGTAATAACTGTACACAGGAATAGATCTTCTCACAAGTAACCTCAGGACAAGTTCGCCGCTATTCATAAAAGACTATGCGACGACAAGACGAATCTGGAAGCAGAAATTGAAGAGCTTCGCGTGGTACAGCAACAATATGTCGCGTCCGATAAAAGTCAAATCCGCAGAGAAACGGATATTCAGTGGTCTCGTGAGTGGCGTGGTTGCTATCAACTGTCGACTCACACGCGTGTGCAATGGTTTTAGAAAATCTCTCTCACGCCTCGGAATACGCAGATGCTCTATATGGGCTAGGAGAGGATGATGAGAATGCGGAATATGAGAGCATATGTGATGGAATGTGATTCAAAATGTTCCTACGCAATCGGGCAGGTATCCAATTGAAATTTCTTGCACTACTCGTTACCAATGCCAATGTAAGTTCATGGGTCATTATTCACATTGGTAAGGTGATGTCGAAAAATAACTTTGATCGATAAAACGAATGATTCTACTGCCCCCTTACAACGCTGGGATGTTAAAATGAGGGTGAGGCGTGTGGCAATCTCAAAAATGCATCAAGAGATTTTTATTCAATTGTTTAAATATATCTGGAGTCTGACATGTCCCGTTTGTGATCCGTTGTCTATGGGCGAGGCTGGCGTTGCTCTCCTGATGGGTGCCAAAATTAAAAGTAGCTTTCATATCTGGGAGAATATCGAACACCCATAAGCATTTGTGTAGTAATAAATCTTGTGTGCATATGCACATTGGAGGACGACTATGGCAGGCGTTCTAACTCGATCTCCCTTTTTTGGCATGAAAAGCTCAAAGGAAACCATTTTCATTGCTTCAACTATTAAATTTGCTGTCAACATCATAGCGTCTGACGCGGAGTGCACATGGCGGTACGCGCAGGCAAATTGCCAAATTTGAGTAAGCGGGTGTTCTTATTTTCTCTGCAATATGACAAACAATCTGAGCTAGCTTTGCAGCATGCTATCTACAGCCCATGCGTCTCCCTCGACCCATTCGTCCTTCTGGCCGGAGCTTCTGGTTGGCGTACTGCCCAGACTTGATTCCTCTGACGCTCAGAGATCGGCGGGTCTGTCGGTACACGCATTGCCCAGACCTGATTCCTCTGACGCTCAGGGATCGGCTGGTCTGTCGGTACACGCATTACCCAGACTTGATCCATGACATACTCCCCATCTACCCCATTGAAAAGATGAGTTGCGTTTTGACGTGGGTCTGGTTGAGCCTCTTGAAAAGGTGTATTGAGCCAGGTAGCAACTTCAAGGTCAAGCCCTCCTTCTCCAATGAGTTCCCTATACCAGTCAGCCTCAAGCACAGCATCGACAACGTCTTGGTGTGCTCGTTTGCGGTGCACCGACTCGCAAGAGTCTTCAGTATAGCCCATGAATTGATAGTCTCCATTGAAGTTCAAGTAACATAACGAGGGTTGCGGACCAGGCCTGAGTACGCATGCTCTGGCATGTACAGCTTCAGGGGCCTCGGGGAAAAGAAAATCAACCGGTTGACCTGTAAAGTGAACACGTGCGCCTTTTGTCTCTCGGCTAAACAAAGCATGTGCCATAGAGGCTCCGAGTGCTGCTGATGCGTGAAAGGTGTCGAAATATGGCACGGGGTTAAAATCTTCGGCATCCAGTGTTATCCGATGCGGTGAAACAGTAGATGGTTTCTGTAGATGCTTCTGTCACATTTCAAGTGCGATCGAATGAAGAAGACTTACGGGGGTAATCCAAAATACAGTGCGAGTTCCAACAGTCTTTCGAATTACCTTTCCATCTGAAACGAGCAGTTCCAAGACTTCCAACCCTTGTTCTTCCGTCATCGAGGTTTGGATCTCTGGCCATATGTCTCCTTTTTCGGTGTTTAGTAGGGCAAGGGAACATGTCAATGAAAATACTTTGTACCTTCGAGAGTGCAGGGACGCTTGATCTAGTAAGGTTTAGTGCTTGCTTTTCGATGTCGGAGGAACGGTATACCTTTCTCAAAGCATCCAGAACATCGGAAATTTTGTCAGCAGTAAGCTCCTGCTCTCCATCGTGCTCGGTCTGTGGTGTAAGAGTTTGGCGTTGTGTAGACATGGCTTTTTTCGTTCCTGGTGGTGGCAAAAGGGTTTCGGTGGCTGTACTAGGTGGCACTTGACTCTTTGACCTTGAAATTGTAAATTTGCTCATTATTCTTTTAGAATCTCGTCATTACTCCGACAGATTTATGGAGCTTCCCTTTGACTTGGTCACTTGCGCTCTTGGGTTTGGTCATGGACCTACACCAAAAGCATATTTATGCCTGTCAAATTATGGCGTCTGTCGATGTCTTGTCAGGGGGTTTGACACAGGCTAGATATCAATAAATTCCAACGCTTTATTTTATGTTGGCATGCAGAAGCGCCGTAAGGTACAATGTCCGGTGGCTGGCCGTGCTTTTGGTGTTGATAAACCCCAGCACGAATGTTTTGGCCACTTTTGCTGCCGACGCGACCCAACCAAACGTTAGAAAGCCGAGAGGACCGTGAAGATGAAGGAAAAATACAATGCCCAAAAGGGAGACGACGGTGATGAAGGCGCTTCACCGGATGAAGACCCAGCAACGGTCGGGGCCAACAAGCTCGAGAAGCTCTCGTTTAGCAAACGCATGAAGTGATCATCTCATGCTATTCTGCTTGATTTTTTTTGTGCGTCTATACATCCACTCGAACAACGCGCCTTGTCCGAGTTGTTTAATGGGAAGAACAGGAGCAAGACGCTCGCGATACAAAGAATATAACCAGTTATTACCACCTGAGCGTGATAATGTGCGGATATATGGCTTACCATAAGAGTAGGGCGGGTTGAAGCCCCTACCAGTGTTGCCTAGCCTATCAGCCATCGCATCCTGCGACACTTCTGATCGGTATTACCAGGGTAAGACGAGATAAATATCAATAGATGCCATTATTTTACTCTTTCAGTGTCCAGAAGCGCCTCGGGATACAATGTCCGGTGGCTGGCAGTGCTTATAGGGCTACCAGCCCTTCAGCTATGGCATTCAGCGGCACTTGCGAGCGCCTAAATGAAGCAAGGAACAGAGTTCCGCTATGATACTCATTCTCTTCTTCTTGTAAATATATCAAATATACGCATGTTATGTCTAGTGTGCATGATAGTTGGTATATAGGCCTCACAAACGCGAGGAAGGCGTTCAAAAATGTGAAAGTATGACAGTAGTTCGCCCCGAATAACAGCGAAGAGTGAGATCGAGCCGGTTTCATTGGTAGCAGTGATTGCCTTGCCACCTCTAGAAAAGGCAACGAGGTCTGACCTATTTCAGGAACCTTGATCACAAGAAAAACGCGCCGGGGCGGGGGCTCGGTGGTTGAGCAATCGACTGCAGTATTGTGCTTATCGATAGGCCTCCGGTTCGATCCCGGATCGCCCCTACGTTTTGCCGCCTGGACGAGTCAGGCCCCGGCGCGACCACGGAGTGAGCGGCCACTGACACTTTTTGCGCTACAAAAACTCTAATGAACTCCAGTAGAATACAATACCAAGATTTTCTATTTTATTTTATTTTATTGTGATGATATTGGGAAGGCTGGCCTCATGGGGACAGGCTCGCGCCTGTCCCCACTTTCGCCATAAGCCTAGCCAAACACTATGAGATGATCCTGGCCTTAGGATCGCAAACTCATGTACGTAGAATATACCAGAATCCCGAGAGAAGAAAATCGTCAAATTGCAGGTATAAACATCGTGAGCATGAACGTTAAAGGCATTTCGGCAGCGGCACTCCTCACTCCCCACATCACATCCTTTATTCCCCCTTCCTTCCTCCCCCTACCGAGAAGCCTGGACCTTCACCTTTAGACCCGAGCCACCATTGGCCCTGGAAATAGATAGAAATAGAGTACGACGCATCGTGCAGTCGACTTACGACTGTGCCGGCCTGACACTCTGTGGGTTATGGAACACATCATTAGGATCGATTTGGGCCTTGATTTGTTCCAGCCTTGGCAGGTTGCTACCCCAGTAATGCTGTTGACCGTTTTCGAGCTTGGGACTGTAGATCGAGGTTCAGTGACAGGATACTATAAAGGAACTATCAAAAGACTCACTCGACATAACCGGCGTACGCGCCAAAGTCGACACCAGGCATGGCATCTTGAATCACCTGAGAGTACTATTTTAGTCCAAATTCCACAAAATGCAGAGATGACATACCTGGTTGATTCCAGTAAGGAAAGAACGGGTGGTATCAGACAGAGTTATCAGGCCAACTCCATATGTTTGGACATAAAACTATATCGGGGTTCAGATGAGACAAGATCACTGGACACATCTGGAAAGACTCACGAGTGCATCTCTATGCGCATATGCGGTCTCTCCCATCGGGATGTCGTTGATCTGGAATCAATAGCGTTAAATATGATACCTCGCAAAACATCTACTGGGTACTCACTGCACCACCTTCCAAATCGAATATGACAAACCACGCAAGTGTGCCCTTTTGTGCCGTCTCCAGATAGTTAAACAGGTTCTGAATACCATTGAACGGAATCAGGTTGTCAGCCTTGAATGCAAGACTCTTGGAGTAGAAGGGACCGGGCTAGAAACGAATAAAGTGTAAGGAATGATTGTCAGAAAAACGTATAGACGAGGGCCCTTACAATGCCACCGATAAGTTTGAGCGCTTCATTTTCAGCCCAGTTGGTCACGGCACCGAGGTAGTTGTCCAATGTATGCACGGAAACGGTGGCGTTTTGGGCAAGTCTTCCTTCAAAGTTGAGAGCATCATATTCTGCTTGTGTACCAAAGTATGTGCCTGAAATTCAATAGCATAAGCACAGCTATCATCGCCCCCCGCAGCACGAGAGTCTGACCGGAGATAATCATGCCCAACTCCATGATGATAACCTGAGTGGCGAGCTTTCTATCCAACCCGGGATCTTTGATAATATCCTGCCACGCGGCGAATGTGTTGGCAAATGAGGATTTCTTGCCGAGCCTAAAGAGCCTGTCAGTATTGCACAAGAAAACTCAAAGGAAAACGAGTACGGACTCGATGTGATAAGAATAAGCGACCATATCCTCTGGTGCCGGCTCGGTATGCACCACAAACTCAGTGATGATACCAAACGAGGCGGCGGCACCTTTCATAGCCTATATAAAAGGTCAGCCAAAGGTTCAACACTCATAAAGGAGTGTAAGATACGTACAAAAAAGATGTCACCGTTTTGCTGCTTGTTTGCGCGGGTGATGGTACCGTTGGCCAAAACGACTTCGATCTCCTCGACGTGGTCCAAGGCAGCACCATACTGACGCGAGAGAGGACCGAGTCCACCGATTGTCAAGTGTCCGCCGGAGCCGACTTGTGGGCACGTTCCGTGCGCGATGGCCCGGTGACCGTTATCGTACAGTCGTTCGGTCAAATCGCCCAGGAGGGTTCCGGAGCCAAATTTGGCAAACCAGGTGTTTGTATCCATCTCAAAGTGTTGGAAGTTGGTCAAATCGACAACAACGGCGCCATCTTCGCCACCTGCCGGAAGAGAAAGGATGAGCATTGTCTGACTTTAGCGGGTGAGGCTATTATTCACGCACCCAAACAATAGTTAGCGTAACTATGTCCTCCACTACGAGCCTGTACCTTGAGGCTGGATGCGACGGCGCACTGTACGACCTTGGAAACCTCCTCTGTCGTGCTGGGCCTAACAACCGCTGCCGGTGTGATAGGAATGTCGGTGTTGTACGCTTTGACTGCGGTGAGCTGGTAGAGGGGATTCGAGGGGTATGAGACGGCGCCACTGTTGTTGGCGAACACAGAGTTGAGGCAAGTCTCGAGGGGGGAGCTGCTTGGAGTATTACCCATGGCGAGAGAGTTACGGGAAGCAAGCGAGGGAAAGGAGCAGAAGTGTCTTTAAAAGATCCGATTTGGCTAGCGCTCGAGCAGGGATAACACGTGAGGTTTGTTAAAAGAGTGTCTGTGCCTGAGGGGTGGCAGGATAGGGATCACAAAGGCTAAAGACCAGGACCAGAGGGGTCGTGGTAGCAAGCAAAGGATTGCAGGTAAACAGGTGGGCCCATAATTTTGTGTTTTGATGGGCACCTTATGAGTCCCAGGCACTCTTCTCTTCGGTATCAACGGCGCCGTGTGAGATCAAAACCAAGCCGCTTCTAGCATAAAGAAAAGCAGAAGGATGCCCGAACTGAATTGCGGGTAAGCACTCGACTCTGTTTCGGAGCTGCCGGCTCTAGAGCTCTTCGCCGTTCCCGGCTTCGAAAACGCTCCGTGGCCGTAAATTCTACAAAATTCCGTTAACCAAGGAATGATTATTCCAGCATTATTGTAAGAGCTATTGTAATCCTTTAAGCCTTTCGTCCCGGAGATGCAACAGACCCGGTGACAGGCGCGCCTCACGAGGGAGGCATGCGATAGGCCGGACGCGATGGTTGCCCAGTTGCAGCTTAAAGTCTGAGAACAATGGCCCGGGCCAAGGAAATTTGAAAAGAGTCCTCAAGGTTCACATCAGGCCAAGCAATCAGCATGCAAAATGAACGTGGTTTTAGGTTGTAGAATGACTAATAAAGACCATCTCGATAACAGTGAGGTATCATCGTCACGCCCGACCGTCCTCCTCAAATTAGGCGAGTAAAGCTTGCACGGTGGCGTTGTAGGCAGGCTTGGGCACCAGGTTGTCGTCCCATTGCAGTGGTGCACCCTCTCCAGGGAACACATCAGGGACCCAGGAGTACTTGTCGCTATATCGCAGTTAGTCGTGGAGGCAGTAACTCTGTAATGTAATACGTACCTTGCACCCCAAACGGTCACTCCGACGCACTTCTTGATGTTCAAGCATGCGGAGACTACCGTTTCTTAGGACAAAGAATCAGTGACAGTTATGAAATGGACCATAAAGTAGAACTTACTGTAGTCGGCTGCCTGCTGAGCCAAGGATTCGGCGGTGGGTGGGGTTGGCATGCGGATATCGACTTCAGTGACACTGTGAAAGGCCTGTTAAGAATGATACGGGCGATACTTTTGGGAGAATACGTACGCAACGACGACGCCGATATCAGTGAATGCTTGCCAGTTGGCCTGGATATCGGTGGGGAGGGTTCCGACCACCAAATGAGCTTGTGCACCGATTTGGTCAATTGGAACTCCGCGGCGCTAATGTAATTTTAGCTAATGCAGACGTATATTCGATATTGCCTACCTTGGCACCTTTGACGAGGTTGATCATAGCAGTAGACTTGGCACCAGTACCATCACTAAAACCATTGGTTAGCGCCTATACTCCGGTTAAATGTTTTAACCCACATGTTGTAGTCTATGATGCGTTAGTCGATAAAGAGACAAGGAAGTTGACAGGACGCACCATTGATGGCCAAGAGAGCATGAGGATCAGTCTGGCGAGCAGTCTTGAAGGCAATATCAATAAACTCTGCACCAATAGTGTCGTAGAAGACGGTGCTGCGGAAAGTGCCATCCTCCTATTGGATGGTCAGTGTTCTGTAAGGGGTGGGATGAGGAGGGCGCCGTACATTGAAGACTTCATTGACAACATCCCAAGTGTACACCTTGCCCTTATAGTGACCGGCAACGTTCACAATATGGTTCTTCATGATGGAGGTAAGCTCCGTCTTGGAAAAGTTTCCAGCGGTGACCCAGCTGTGTCTTTCGTTAGAATAGGCCCAAAATAATATAGATGAATACGTACGCAGGGAGCTGGCTGTGCCATACTAATACGTGGGCACGGACTTAAAAAGGGCGTAAGACGGGCGGAAATAACATAGAAGTCACCACATACAAGACCTGATGGGTTCTCAGTACAATAGCACGCCAAGAAAAACCAATCAACTTACATATGGTTTGCCAAGGCAGTTCCGACGACGAAGTCACCGTTTGTGTAGTTGAAGACACCCCGGGATGGTTCCTGCGCCCAGTTTCTTCAGTTTTGCCATCACATATCCGTCCGTTCAATCTCACTCACCGTAGTCTCCCACTTTAACGAGTTTTCAGCGGTGATTTGATCAAACTAGTCCCCGGGAGTCAGCAAACTCGGTATTCGACTATTCCCCAAGGTAACGCGTACCTGGGCAAGGACAAGCTGGGTATAATCGGAATCGACAGCTCGGTTCACGTCCCATGCGACACCGAAATAACGACGTTTACGTTCTGCGAGAGCACCGAGACCTTTTGGTGCACGTCTGCCGATGGGGTAAGCCGAAGTCGGGGTTGGGGAACCGCTCGTGGTGCATGGAGTGGCACGTTCGACGACGGGGGTGGCAGAAACCGAGACAGCGGCGACTGCTAGTGTAATGAGTGTGGTGAATCCGATCATTTTTTCTTTCTTCGTCCTACGCGTTCGCCAAAAAGTGAGTCCGAGGGGAGGAAAGTTTTTGGGAAGTAAAGAAAGAACCTAGCGATTGGGTGGACCCA